GAAAAAAAGCCTGAGGAATATGACTGCCAGTCTTGGTGGTATTTTTAAATAAGTCTCAGATAAGATCAGCATATAATGGATGGTTGTCTGATTATGATAGCAGGATAAAAATATATTCCTGGACAGCAAGGTGGTTCTTATTTTTATTCCAGGCCTATACTAGGAAACTTCCTGCAGGTGTAAAAGTGGTGGTGGTCTCACCCAAGGTCAAATACACAGCAGCTTTCAGACTGCTGTGCTGTTTTATTGATATGTTATGCTTTTCTTGACAGTCACACTCTTCACATTAGCTGCTTTTTGTGGTAAATAGGGATGTTGTATTGATTTTATGGCTGGCTACCATACGACTTGCTATGACTGCATCTCAATTTTCACTGTGATCCAACATTTGACATGCTTTTTCCTCAAAGATGAACATAATGGGAGCACATAGCAACAAAGCATTTTTTTTATTTCCACATATTTTTGTTTCTGAATTATAATCTTCCTAATGAGTAACAATCTTTATAGGAGAAGCCCTTATTTAAAAGCTTTACCTTCCCTTGAAGAAAGTACATATATTTTAATAGAAGCTGCCATCTTACTTTTGAAAATACTTTCAGTCTAAAACTGAAGTATGACTCATTTGCATTTAGGTTCTGATGAAGAAAAAACATGTAACCCTATGCTTAACTTCCAGCACTATTAATTTTATTGATTCAGAGGCCCAGGTGCTTAGACCTAAGCACGCTTACATTTTTCTAGATCAGAGCCTTGATAAGATAAATTCCTTACTAACCAAGAAATCTGGCATGTTATTTCACCTGCTGTCATGCAATGAGTTGATTTTACTCAGTTCCACTGGATAACATATTAGAAATCATATACTGGACGGAAAAGATGCTTTTGGAAAATCTCCTTGCAGTGAAAATCAACAAATATGTATTGGACAGAATCCAAGTTTAAGTCCTGGAGCAAATGCTGGAGAAGGTATGGGAGTATGTATTGGATGATTCCTTCTCAGAGGAGGCAGAAGAAAAATACAGTTTAAAATGGAAACATCTATGTAAGATGAAATGTGAACTGTACTGCCCTCTTCTGCGTGCTCAATAAGATCAAGGGCAGGAAATATTTGCTCCTCCATCCCTCATGTCAGCAAGCTTAAGCCTCTCCTTCCAAATTTACATTTCTTGTTTAACAGGCTATAATGTAATACACCTACTGTACGGCTTCTTGGCATTCTTTGCTGTAGATCCCTGGCTGATCACTGTAGAGAAATAATGGGCTTCTCACATCACATGAAAAAAATATGGCACTTTTGCTTTTAAAAAAGCTCCAATTTCCTTTAATTTCAAGAAGGCCTAGAGCCAGTGTGAGAAATCCCTCCCAGTCACAGATATCACCTCTTTCAGACGAACTGGAAAGACCTTTCACTTGTTTCAGGCTAAGCTTTGGATGATGTTTTTCCCTTGCTAGTGATGCTACCAGGCCTTTCAAGTATAATTGTATAGGCATTAGGTTGTTTCTGATATTATCATCTTGTGTGGGAAAAGCATAGCATTTGCTCAGAGTATCTTTGCTGACTAGATTAAATTACACATCTGTATAACAAGAGAGCAGTGATCAGGGGTTGGACTACATGACCCTTGAAAATCCTTCCAATCTTTTAATTCTATGATGAGCATTTAAATATATATATATAATTTCTTATATAATCCCTACTATCATGGAGGCAGTATTATGGCAAATATCTATAGGCTTCTGATTATATATTTAAGATCTTGTGCACACTGTATTTTCAACTGTCTGTAATTCTGCCTTGTGTTTAGTTTTCCTGTTTTTATCACTGACACATATAATGAAGCTGCGATTCACTTTTAAATTTACAGTCAGATTTTTCTTTCCCATTCTCACAAAACTGAACCAAAAGGATCTGGAAAAAACAACTGGACATTTCTATACTGGCAATAAATTTCAATGATCAAGGTCCAAATGTGGGGTAACAAGCACAAATGAGACGGAAACTATTAGAATGGTTTCAAATATGCATCAGACTTTGTGACGCATAGAGGATCATGTAATAATCAATTAGGATAATGCACATATATTTTAAGACATGGGAAATCTCCTCCGTAAAATATTTATAAATGGTCTCAGAGCCAAATTTCATGGCCAGCAATTCTTACTAGAATGAGCTGAACTGCAACCTCAGCTCTGAACTCCCCTCAGCTTTTGGGGATCAGATCTTGTAACTTTGCCACGTCAAGAAATAAGCCACTTCTAAGCTAATTATTATGAAGCAGTTCTATTTTTAACCTTACTAGCTCCAGAAGCAGGCATCAGTTTCCAAGCCCAATGAATGGCAATGCAGTGGAATCCTTTCAATGACATTTTAGTACTCATGGTCATAATGGTATTTCAGAAACCTGTTGCTCACACAGATGTGTATAGGGGGATTTCTCTATTAGAAATCCCTTTGAAATGCACACCATAGTTTTGAATCCTAGATGTAGCTTTTAGAACTGTTTTACTTAATTTAGCTAATTACCAAAGGGATTTGAATTTAAATATGTGCTCACAGGTCAGCCCTTTCTCCTGATTCAGTAGCTCCATTGTCTTCAGCAGAATTGCTCCTGATTTGCAGTATTATTCATATGACCAAAATCAGACCCCAACAGCCTTTCGTTTCCTGGATACCTACCCATAATGATAATTAACATTAACTAGAGAAGCACTTCCTGGGCATATTAAGTACAGTAAATTACTCCCTTTGTAAAAATGTTCTTTCTTTTCCCACTTGCCCCAGTTCCAGTCTTTCTTAATCATGTTCATCAAAAAAAAAATTGAGTTTTGATCATTACTCCTCTGCTCATATTCAGACACAACATGAAAAAAAAAATCATTCAGATGACTTTACAGCCTTCTAAGGTAACAGCTGCAAGTAACTAGGCAACATCAAAGAATATAGTATTTTGCAGGAAGGAGGGGTTTTATTTTTTTTTTAATGATCTCACTCAGATGCCATGTTTTTCCCTTATAAGAAGAAAAATGTTCATTGAAAAAATAAAGCTATGAGTCTGCCATCTGTCACTTTCAAGTCATATGGATATATATATAAACCTATGCTTTTCTCCATTAAAGGGGAAAAGAAAATTACAGTACACCAGTATGTTGCACTTTTTTATACACTTACAATTTACATTCACAAAAGGGAAACCATACTAGGTGTAGGTTTCATTAAACATAAACCTAATTAAATTGAAATGCTTTGATAATCATCAGGTCAGTGTTGACAAGTTTCAGCATCAGAAAAAGATCATTTCATTTCAGACAAGAAGTAACAAAACATGGCTTCTGTGAATTAGTGCATCACTAGTGTCTTGGTGGAAGTAGGATGCCACTAGATTCTATCACCTACTGACTTTTAGAGGTTTTATTTGGGTGCAAATAGAGAAAAGATCTAAGAGAAAACCTGGACTAACAGATAACAGCACAGACACATGATTCTCCCATTTGGCAGCCAGAAATGATAAGCAGCAACACATCTTCCGATTAGAAATCTGGAACCATGAAGAATTATGGAGAAGACAAGTCACTTTTAATTGCACATACCTGGCTAAAGCAAGGAGGTAAAAATAATCTCCCAGCTCCAAGCCAGGTTTATAGTCAGCTGAAGTGGGGAGTAAATGCTGAGCTGCACGAAGCTGTGATGCCCTCTGCTGGTACGAAACTAACACCACGGAGAGATCATCAGTATCTGGATCCTCTGCTCTGAAGCATACACGTGAAGGAAGACAGGCTCCAGTCAAAACCATCTCTATACTTAGGGGAATGCAGTTCAGAAGACTTGGGATCCAGATCTCAGTGTGACATGAGTTTCTAGAGCCTTTGAGCAGCGGGTATCGCAGCAGGCTCTGTGCCAGTCAGAGGTTGAACCAAGTGCATAGCCCCACTTCATTAGTTCCTTGGAGTGCCCAACTTCAGTACGTAGGTAGCTGAGACATCACCACCTGTGCCATGGCTCAGCCCCTGGTGCTAAGGACTCAGAAGCTGGAATATGCATTTTTTCGCTGTCAGGTATTTTCTTCAGCTTCTCGTTCCACATCTGTAGTCGTGTTTCCTGGGGTGTGGCGTCGAGAGGTTGGGCGCTGGTGAGGAAGCTCCTGCGTGACGTCAGACGTTTGTGTGCGGTGGGATGGTCGTACAGCGGGCGTCTCACTTCTTCAGTTTATCTCAACCGGTCCGTCTTGCTGGCCACTGCTCTTCTGATGGCAGGTGGAGCGATGCCTGACAGGATAAATATATAGTACATTGCCTGGCCGTCCTAACTGTTTATCCAGGGGCATGCACTGAAAGTGAGACTGTCAAAATTCATTTGGCTAAAATGTAACTTAAGTTTATTTTGTTTCCAAACTCCTTTCTTTTTGACACAAATGACCTGCTATTTTTTTTTAAAAAGGAAACAAAAGAAATGCCAATAGCTTGGAGCCCGAGAGCGACCGTCCAGCGTGGGAACCCAGCCCGGCCCTTCCCTACCAGGGCCTGCACACGATTCAGTTTCCACTAGAAATCTGCAAGGGCGTCGGGCTCTTGTGGTCCTTCGGAGGTCTTTTCACTGCTATTAACCTTCCTGTAGTCAGGAAAGACAGGGCACTTTCCCAGGAGTGCCTTGGAGGAGGCTTGGCCCCTAAGGGGAGACCTGCAGCATTTGCGGGGTCAGGCCCGGCACGTGCTAGGAAGGGAGAAGCCGCAGCTGCGCTCAGGGCTTCAGTCTCCCTTGCAAACAGTGGGGCTGGGGAGGTGTTTATTTTCCAGGATCCGCCCAAAACCACAGCAGGAGCGAGGGCAGCCG